TCAATGAGGTTAATTATCCTAACCCTCACCCCCATCACAGGCTACTTTCTTCCCCAGAAAACATCCTCACCCACACCACCACCACCACCCACCACCACCAATGGTAAATAATAACAAGTATCACCAGCAATGGTCTGAGGACCCATCTTGTCAATATATTCCTGGCCCAGCATGTCTCTAGTGATGATGGTTACCCAAGAGAAAAGACCACAAGTTTACCAAGAACCTAGAGCTCACTCACCTTCTGCCCTTGAAGTATGTGAATAACTCCACACACAATTGCCAGAAGCAACAGTTTCACCTGAATTTGTCACAAGGCACGTCTGCAACCTGCAGCTTTGTTTCCCAGTGGACCCGAAGGAAGACCTCTTTATGGACTGGAAAAGATAATGTCTCTCATGAGGCCACTTGTAGACAGTGGTAACCAGGACTTGCCATTCAGTGAAATCTCCATGCCCGATTTGGAGGAGAGTAGAAGTGGGCAAACAAGTTCAGTTATGTGTGGGGTTATCCCAGCTGCTTTTGATTGTGGGTAGAGAATCCAAAATGCACTTCCCAAACCATCTCCATAAAAGAAAATTGGCGGAGTCTGCCTGAGGGGTTACAGTGGGATTTATGAATATGGAACAAATAGAGATTCCTGAGGAAAACAAAGACATCCCACCCCGTGTATGTGTCTACAGTGGGAGTGCAGCCTCCTCAGAGTACATCTACTTTCTGTCCTGTGCAATAATGCAATGATCACACCAGGACTATTACACCATGAAACAGTGAATAGCACACACAAAACAAGGAATTGGCACAGAAGAATCTCATGGAATCACACCATGTGTTTAAAAAGTCACGAAAGAATCCATAAGGCATAATTTCATTCATCATGTATAAACTTGGTAAAAGTGTTCTATTAGTGCTGCAGGTTTCTTATCAGTGAAGTTAAATATCTCAATCTTCATCCCCATCCCAGCTTACCCTCCTCCCAAGCAAACACCCTCACCCACACACCAACCTGCCCACCCCACTTAAGTACAGTTCTGCCACAGCTGTGATGTGTCAGTGAGGGTAATAAGACCCAGCCCTGTGACGCAGCTCAGCTGCAGGTGTCATCTGCTTGTTAGGAAAGAATTACCCAGCCCAGTGGACCAGTGTTGCTGCATGGCCACTCCCATGAATAGTGAGAGACATATCAAGTACTTCAAAGTACAGAGCAGCTATTCATGGGCAATGTCCATACTTCTGTGGATTATTGCAGCAACAATTGCACAACGGTGAATACTTCATATTTAAGCATGCCCCAAATTTGAAGGGGATTTAATTCAAATCACCAAAAGGGGAGAGGTGATTTTTTTGCACTGCCATGCTTCAGTGGAAACTTTGGCCATCGCCTGCACTTGCCTAACCCTACTTCCTGACGTCATGCTGGTTGCATGGCATGTCTCTAGTGAAGATGGCAGCCTGACCCCCAAGGGAAAAAACCATACCATTACCAATACCCTAGAGCTCAACCTCCTCTTGTCCTCACCATTGGTCATTAACACCATACACAATCATGAGAAGCAGCAGCTTGACTTGAATTTTGTCATAGGCTGCCCCTATTACCTACAGCTGTGTTGTCAGAAGATGCAAAGGAAGATGTCTTTCTGCACTGAGAGAATCTGATTTCTCTCCTGAGGCCACCTGCAGACCCAATGCCATTCAGTGAAGGCAATAGAAGTGGGCAAAGAAGTTCAGATATGTGTGGGGTTATCTCAGCCGCTTTTGAAGGTGGGGAGAGAATTCAAACCTCCCCCCACCCCCAAATTGACAGAGTCTGTGCTAGTGATGGCAGCTTATAGTATGAATTCCCAAGAAAAGCAAGTGTCACACAACCCAGTGCAGGTGGTTTCAGTTAGGAGTGCAGGCTCTTCAGGGCATTCCCATTTGACAATCACAGTGCCTCTTACGCACACCCCCTTTCAAGTGAAGGTGCAATAAGTAACCCAGAAAGGGGGGGCCAGTGGGTCTCTCAGATCATCGCTGCAGCCCGGCCAAGGCCATGGCATATGCCTATCTCTTCAAGTACGTCATCATCGGTGATACGAGCATTAAATCATCCATATTGCTAAAGTTTACAGACAAGATGTTTCAGCCAGTCCATGACCTTATTATTGGTGTAGAGTTTGGCGCTCCAATGATAACTATTGATGGAAAACAGATGAAACTTCAGATATGGGACACAGCTGGGCAAGAGTCCTTTTGCTCCATCACAAGGTCGAATTACAGAGGTACAGCCGGTGCTCTACTAGTAGATGATATTACAAGGAGAGAGACATTCAACTACTTGACAACCTGGTTAGAAGATGCCCATCAGCATTCCAATTCCAACATGGTCATTGTGCTTATTGGAAATAAAAGTGAT